TTTCCCTATTACTAGTTTTTAGCAAGAAACCCTAAAGTTTAGGAGAATTTTGGGGTCCCAGCAATCAAGTCCAATGAACTTTATGAAAATCTGATTAAACATTTTTTCTGAATGTCTAGACCTTTCTCTATCAGAAACGAGGGGTCATCACCAGTCTCCCTTTGATACCCTCATCATTCCAAAGACACAGTTAGAATAATGCATCTCCCCTGGTCCCCCTCACTACTCAGTCTCAGGAAAAGGGATGCCCTGCGTCCAAAGGCTGGGTGGTCTTAAGGATGTAAGAGTCAGACCTTGACTGGAGTGAGGGCACCTGGATGAAGTGAGGGCCCTTAGCTCTTGTTCGAGTTTCCCACCAGGGGACACCAGCCCCGTCAGAGGCTTGTCAGGCCCTTGCTTATCCTACTCCTTTTAATCGGGATGGCGTTTGGCTTGTCACCATACGTTTGGGATGCTCTAAGGGCAAGAGAGTGTTGAGAAACAAATCATCACCTTAATAATTGGTACGATATTTCAGGATCTCTGAATTTCTTCCTTTGCATAGTATTTCTAGGGAGAAAAATCCATTAACAAACCTTTAGTAAATTAATTTTAATGGGTCTCTTAACTGTCTCTAAGCTTTGAGTATCTTTCCCTCAAGATGGTCACTGTAGGAGGCTGATGAAAAACACTCTAGTCAGACAGAATATAGTAGTATATCTTCTGTGTCATTAATTAAAGTTGTCAACATCCTCCAAGAATAGCCTCAAATAAGAGTTTATTATCAAAGAGGCCACTCACAGAATTAGATCCACTTGGGTCTACATTACATTGCCAAGCCATCTACTTTGGGGGTTAAAAACATATAAAAATTGTAGCTTTCTGACTTTTATGTAAGTGTTTTTCAAACATCTTCATTAGATTTATCAATACTTTTGGCATTTTCCTAATTCAGTAATTCAAATTGGATTTAGCATAATAAACTCAAATAGCTCTTAGGTAACAGTCAGGAATAGTATCAGCGGAGACAAGGAAAGCTCGCACTTTCCCAGGGTCATAGCAAATAACTGACACATCTGAACTTGAGATTTTGATAATGAATTTCCAATTGCCTCATGGGGTTACAGTGAATTTTTAAAAACAAAATATTCACTGTAACTGCAAATAGAATGCACCTGACATCAAGTTGCTTGGGGGTAGGCCAGTGTCACCAGCCAAAAGGACTGAGGGTCGTGAAGCTGAGTGGACCACTAGCCCCTGGAGAGGTCCTGGAGAGTCCAGAGAGCCGCATGCCCTGACACCCGAGGAATGGGACCATTGATGTCACTTCCAGTGGGCCAGGCAGCTGCAAGGCCAGCACAGGGCACAGCAGGGGAGGGTGGCCCCCTGTCCCGCCCCAGCTCGGCATGGAGAATCGTCTCACCTTCCGAGTTAATCTCCTCTTGATCTCTCGTTTCTCCTCTTGTTCCTCTTGTTCATTCCGAGCTGAAAGAAACATTTAAGACGCTTTAGATTTTGGTGGCGGCGTCGCACAAAGGTGCACCTCTGCAGGTCCTAGGCCAAGCAGCTCAGTTGTTTGTTTTGTTTTGTTTTGTTTTTTGCTGTATGTGGGCCTCTCACCGTTGCGGCCTCTCCCGTTGCGGAGCACAGGCTCCGGACGCGCAGGCTCCGCGGCCATGGCTCACGGGCCCAGCCGCTCCGCGGCACGTGGGATCCTCCCGGACCGGGGCACGAACCCGCGTCCCCCGCATCGGCAGGCGGACTCTCAACCACTGCGCCACCAGGGAAGCCCCAAGCAGCTCAGTTTGAAAAGGAGGAGAGAGTTCCCGTCCCCTACCCTGGCCACCCTTTCTGCTTGTGGGGACGCTTTCCAAACTGCCTGTACTGTTTCAAATCGGCGGTGAGTGGGTTGACCTTATTTTGTTTTACGTCACACGGGGTTTCAAGTCTGCAGGCCGAAACGCTGGGCCAAGAGGAGGGGCTACGAGGCAAGGAGGTAGGTCCTGAAAGAGTGGGGTACTGTCCACAGTGACACAGGCATCCGGGGAGAGGTGAGGCTCCCTTCTTTGGACAAGACCTGGGCCTCACGCAGCTCTGCCTCAAGCCTCACAGCGACCGAAGGGGACTCACTGTGATGTGGCCCTGGTGCCCGGTGCCCTGCGTGGATGGAACAGAAGCCAGGCCCCGTGGGGGCGCCTGCCACCTGCCACAGGAACAAAACGAGGCACGGCTGATGCCAAACCCAAGGCTGGAATTTCAAAACGCTCGCCTTTCACAAGCCCTGATTCCATTAATTCTTTGAGTCTTCCAAGAAGTCCACAGAGCACGTGTGAGGCCACAGTGTGGGATACAACTGCCTACATTTAGACTTCTAAGGAGCGTCTTAGGAGAGCAGACTCCAGAGCTTAAACCTTCTCAGCTCAATATGTGGGGTGACCTAGCATCAGGTGTGTAAAGCGCCGAAGGGAGCAGAGATTCGGAGGACAGAGAACGCAGGAGTATCTAAGTAACGCAGTGACCTTGGGTACCTCACTTTCCTCCCAGGCCTTGCGATGGAAGCACGGATCGCAGCATAATACTGTCTAACTTGAAGAAAAATCACAAACGTCAGCCTGGCTCCCATGCCGCCTCTTCCTGTCTACTGAACTGAGGGTGGCATCAGAGAGAGACCACCACTGCCACTTGATTTTGCAGAGGCTGCATCAAAAGGGCACTTGTTCCCTCATTTTGAAATCACCGTTGGAAATTATGGTTCCATAACCCCATTAACTTCCCGCGCAGTGCGCACTCACCCTTGAGTGGTCTCAGTATAGGACAGGGCTTTAAAACAGGGACACCCTTGTTCCTAGAAGTGGGGTGCCCTCGCCCCTCCTGCCAGCCTGATGGCAGCAACCACAGCCTCAGCTAACTCACACTGCAGGTGGCAACGCCTCCCACCAGAAGGAAGGGTGGTGGTTCAGAGCACAACTCACGTCCTTGAGCGATACCCCCGGGGGCACGGTTTGGCCAGTGGGACTGCCTGTGGTGACCAGGATCTTGGTCCTGGGCAGCTCCAGAAATGGCCACATCCTGACGTGGGCCAAAGTCCCCAGGGGTCCACGTGGCCCAAACCCCACTCGAGAGCTCCTTCCTTTGAATTGAAAGGTCCTCCTTCCCCCCAC